CATGACACACCTCGCTGCTTCTCACTTCCCCTGTCAGGAATGTTACTATTAGACATTGGGCAGACCAGCTGCCAGAAAAGTGGAGAAGTTCTATTGAGAGTTCCCCCTGGGAGGACATCACCTCCCAGAATTATGGAAACCACTACCCCTCCAATACCCTGGACGGGAGCATGGATTAATGGAGACAAGTGGGTGAAAGGCCAGGGAAGTTAGTTAGGTATTATGACTTAAGTACTTAGGAACGAATACATAGAAATGCTCCTCTTTGTGTATGGCTTAAAGCTAAACCTCCGCAGGAACAGCCCCTAGGGCTGCTGAACCCTCTATGACCTTGGTTGGTTCTAAAGACTGCGCAGGACACAGGGGCTGCACTTAAACAAAACAGGCAAGACTTCAACTGTCTCCCCAGACAGGTAGCCGCTGAAGGCTTAAAAATAACCTTTATAGAATAACTGCTCTATTGAATTTTTCTTAAACTCTGTTAATTTTTGAGAATTATTGCTAGACATTTGGTAGGAAGTAATATTCTGTACTTCTCGCTCTACTTGAATGTCTGAAGAGCCCTCCTGGTCAGAATAACCTTTGCTTAGTACTATTATACCTGTAAACAATGGTACTTTTCCAATCAAAGTAACTTTTACTAAAAATGATTGTTTTTAAGTTTTCCTGTACTACGCTGTGCTATTTTTTTGTAATAACCTCTGATGTAATCACGCCATGTATCAGTTCCTTGTTTTATCCCTATAAAAATAAAGTTTCTGAGCTTAAAGGCAGTCAGTCCAGACTCACAAGTCTGGCTGTCCTCCCGCACCTCACCCTCTGCCTCCCTCTGTTTCTTCGCCGAGCCGTCTCTCCTTCGGGGACCCTGAGGCTGGAGACCTGCCGAGGCTGGACCCTGGCATAGACTGAAAGTGACCAGAAGGGATGGGCAAAGAGGACAATGGTGGAAAGAAGGGGAAGGGACTAGACAAAGAACATGTGTCAATGACCCATGGACATGGCCAAAAGAGTGAGAATTGACTGTGGGAGCAGAGGGTGGGGGTGGGATGGGTGGAGGGGGGTAAAGGGAATAAAATTGAGACAACTGTAATAGAATAAACGTGATTTATAAAGTAAAAATATAAAAATGTAAAACAATAAAATAAAATAGAGTCCATAGAAAGAAATATTTTTTACACTGCAAGTAAAACAAGTGCAAGTGCAAAGGCCCTAAGGTAGGATGTACCTGGCCTATGTGAGTGAAACACATACAGCTTTAAAGTCAGACTGGCATGGGTTTCTGACCCTGCACATACCAGTCAAGGCCTAGGACAGAGAACAAAATTCAGGGTCTAGCACAAGTAATGCTTGCTTGACTGTGGTTGGTAGGGTACCTGAATGTCTCCATGAAACGGACAGCAACTGGAACATTTCACCTAAAATGTCACATGGTATGCTTGAGCGTGATATTGTTATATTACAGAATTACATACTTATGATTTTTTAATTAAAGATTTTGTAATAAAAAAGGGGTATTATTTGTGCCAGACCCGGTATTTGTTTCTAGGCTTTTTTTTTTTTTTTTTTAGCTTGAGGACAATTAGATTTTTAAAAATAGTTTAAAAGCTTTACGCTTTCTTTAATGTTATTTGACATTACTGAACAAAAAATAATTTCAATTAATTAATGTTGAACTATGTCTTTGAGAATTACTATTAAAATTAATTACTATTACTGTTTAATACGCACCCTTCCTCCGCGATTACAAATTGTTCTGGGATCCTGGTTATGCAGGCCTCTGTTTTGCCCTCTTGTCTATTTTAACCCTCAGTTGAGAATCAGTATTTAAGCCCAGTGGGTTCCAGAAGTTTCTTCATTCATGATAGGAGTAACATAACTAGTGTATATAGTGTACCTCCTCTCCAGAAAACTGTTTGAAAGAAGAGTTAACTTTGTGGCAGTTTTGCTTGAAGCTTTTCTTATTTTCTAATCATACCTAATGGTGAGGGTAATACAGGCTCATATCTTTCCTTTAGTCTTCATCTTTTTCATTGTAATTTTTTTGGTAGCATAAATGATTAAGGAATGATATTTAAATGACTTTCTTAATAATAGGGAAGCAAATAGTATTTGAATAGCATTTGGGAAGATAACCAAAATTTTATTCTTTAGATTCTTTTTAAAAAGTAGTACATTTTTATTGATCTGGAAGAGAAAACTTAATTCAATGCTCTATGTTGTAAGGGTAATGAGACTATATTGATTGAATCAAAGACAAGGAATCAAATAGGCACAAAAGTTAATAGTTTCTAAGAATAATTTCCACAGTAGTGGAAAGTTTCAGAAAACAGTGATCTATAAATTTGATGACCAGTAAGAAAACACCCTAATAGGGAAATTATCTAAGTTTGTGCTCTGAGGAAAGTATATCAGTAAATTGATCAATGGGGTTATAAAGTTCTTGAACCAAATATATGTTAATGCAGTTGGTCTGGGTATATAAACATTTTTCCTGCCTCATAAATGAGACCTGAATTTGAACCTGGACTTCTTATATAAGAACTTCTCATATATATTGTGCAAACTGTACAATTTTTAATCCAGGATTTGAAAAAAGTTGGCATTTACTCTCTGCCCCAGAATTTAATACTGTTTTTAATCTAATGTACTTACTATTTTCTATAACTTGGTCATTCAGAGAAAACCTTGTACTGAGAGAAACAGGTTCAGAATCCTTCCTATAAACTCCTCCTTTGTTCTGTTCTAACCTGTTTTCCTGTTCAGGCTGCTGTGGATATCCATTATAACTGATTCATTTAACAGGAAAATATTCCCTGAGAGAGAGATGAAGAAGTAATTAAAGAGCACACAGAGCTATTTGTCCTTGACTTGTAACCCTGAGAATTAGAGTTAATTTGCTTAATTCAGTTTCTCTTTCCCACTATTGAGCAATTTACTTCATTGTAAGCAATAGCACTCAACACTATCCTGTTTTTCTCACCTTTATTTCCTGCAGCATTTCAAACCACAAATGAGTTTTTACCTTCGATTTTTTGTGGAGCTGCCAGAACACTTTGTCTTATGACCTTTCATGTGTGAATTTTAAAAATCTATTTAATGTGCCTTCATTATCTACCTGTCAACGTGAACCTTTGAGAGTTCATTGACCTTTTATAAACCTTGACTATGTCCTCTGAGAACTGTCACATCTACTGCTATTGTGCAATGGTAAAAATCAGTTACATGTTGGATACCAATGTGCAGAGAAGAGGCTAGAAAAAGGCAAACAAAAAAAAAAAAAAAAAGACAGATTGGTCTTTTCTCAGTTCACTTTACCACCCATTCCCAGAGCTGTGTTCATGATCTTGATATCCCAGCAACTGCATCACATCCCAGCTTCAGCGTGGAACCGCCCATGCTCTCACCGTCAGCCCACCCTGGCCAATTCACTCACCTGAATGCACCCACTAAAGGAACTACTTGACTGGGGTCCTTCAATCAGCTGATTCATATACTTCCTGATCACCCCACTCAGTTCCTCCCTCCTCTCCTTACTCAGCTTCGATACAAGCCCCTTCATTGTAATCAATTATACTTTCTTACCCCTTCCATTACCTGGTGAAGATCCAGCCCTTGTGAAAACCTATTGTTTTCTACTCTCTGCCTGCACCAAAAAGCTGAGTATTTCTGAGGGAAAAAATCTGTTAAAAACAAGACAATAGGCCCAAAATGGAGTCACTTATGCTATGTTCCATGTCACCAATCAAATTATAGTGTCAACCTCTCCCAGGAATGGAATCTTAAACTAGTCAGTCTGGAATTACCTGGTCAGCACTAGTGAGGGTCCTGACAGAGTCCTGCTATCCCCTAAAAGAAGGTGACTTTGCCACAAGTAGTCTGCTCTTTGCCAATAGAATAACTTCTTCGTCCCACCCCCTCCTGCCTATAGAAGTCTTTCATTTCACACAGCTCCTCAGAACTCCTTTTATCTGCTAAATGGGATGCTTCCCAATTCATGAATCATTAAATAAAGCCAAACTGTACTTAGTTGAATTTTTCTACTTTATTTTCATTGTTTACACTGTTACAGATGTCCCCACTTTTGCACTCCTTGTCTACCTCCCCATTGCCCCTGCCACCTTTTCCCTCTGGCCATCACCACACTGTTGTCTGTGTCTGTGGGTTATACGAATGTGTTTTTTGGCTAATCCCTTCGCCTTCTTTCATCCAGTCCCTCTGCCCCACAACAGCTGCAGTCTTTTTCATATATCAATGCCTCTGTTTCTATTTTGTTTACCAGTTTATTTTGTTCACTAGATCCCAAATATAAGTGAGGTCATATGGTATTTGTTTCATTGACTGGATTATTTCACTTAGCATAATAATTTCTAGGTCCATCCACATTGTTGCAAAAGGTGAGTTCCTTCTTTTTTATAGCTGCATAGTATTCCATTGTGTAACTGTACCACAAATTTTTAGCCACTCATTTACTGATAGGCACTTGGGCTGTTTCCAGGTCTTGGCTATTGTAAATAATGCTGCTGTGGACATAGAGATGCTTATATTCTTTCTGACTGGTGTTTTGGGGTTCTCAGGCTATATTCCCAAAAGTGGGATCACTGGTCAAGTAGGAGTTCTATTAACAGGTTTTTGAGGAAATTCCATAGTTTTCTGTTGGGAACTGTCCCACCTGGTTTCAGGGACTATAGCCTTGCCAACAGGTGAGAGGGCCCCAAGTCTCGAGCTGAACAAGGAGGCCTTGGGAAAATAGGCCACAGAGGAGAAAAAACCTGTCCCCCTTGTGATGATTGCTGGGGGAAGGGAATATAAGGGGACTAAATGGTAACGGAAAAAATACAATAAAGATTAAATTTAAATAAATAAACAACCTCAACCACGCAGAGAGAATTTGTGCACACAAATTTCAGCTGGTTGTGAAGTGCTCCGTGGGAGGAAATTTCCAGGGACGCTTCCTTTCCTACTCTCTGAAAGGGGCCATATCTCATGTCATCCTCTCTCATGTCCGCTCTGGCAGCACATGTACTAAAATTGGAATGATACAGAGAAGATTAACTTTGTCCCTGGGCAAAGATGACACACAAATTCACAAAGTGGTTCACATTGTCCTCTCTCCTCAAACTGCCTATGTTCCCTTTCCTACCCTTACTCTCAGCTGATGAACCTATCTCAACTGACAAAAATTGAAGCGATCCCAAGGAATGTCCTCATTGTCCAACTACCAAATCAGTCAGACTCTGCACATGATTCCAGACTCCCTGCCTCCTCTCCTGTTCCTACAGATGAAGATCCCTTCTCCCATATCATCAGGGAAACTCCTCTACTGGGCACTGGATCCTGTCCCTTCCTGCCGCTCCTGCCCTTCCAGTGTTTTGAAGAACTTCATTTTTGCAATTACTTCCTCTTCTTTCTGCTAGAGCTGATTCTTAAAAGTAATTCTCTGCCTGGAAAGCAAATACTTCTCCAGAGCCCTGGGGGTCAGCTCTGTGATATTTTTATTATATTATTTTCTAGCTATTGAGGAATAAACCTATTTCTTCTGTGTTAACTAATCGAGGTTCTGTGAATAGAAAGAAAGAAAAAGAAAGAAAGAAAGAAAGAAAGAAAGAAAGAAAGACAGAAAGAAAGAGAAAGAAAGAAAAGAGAAAGAAAGAAAGAGAGAGAGAGAGAAAGAAAGAAAAGAAAGAAAGAAAGAAAGGAAAGAAAGAAAGAAAGAAAGAAGGAAAGAAAGAAAGAAAGAGAAAGAAAGAAAGAAAGGAAAAGAAACCCCACACAGATTGGCAAGAGCAAAGACAGGAGACCACACAAAAATGTGATTCAAGGAGGAGATTAGAAATAGGGGCTTGTAAATTATTTTAACAGCGAAACGGATGGGAGAGAAGGGCACTCATGGGTAAACAAATGACTTTTAGGTAAAATAAATAGGACCTTAGGAAAATACATGGAGGATGCGATAGTTCTGTGACAATCTTCCCTAGCTCTGAAACTCCCAAAACTCCTGGTGAGAGGATTTATGACAATTGGAGTTTTGAGGAGGTTCTGCTTTTAAGTAGATAAGGGAGTTCATTTAGAAAGCCTTATATTTTTGAGTGCCTTCATCTTAACATAATTTTGATGCTGCAGTGGCATACTCTGGACCCCTGCATAGCACTGCACCGAATGATTCTCACTGGCATAAGACCACTACAACACACTCTGCCTTTACCCTGGCCCTCTCCTCTCACCTGCCAGTCCTTTTCTCAGCTCCTCTTCATAGGAGTCAGGGGGATATTTTAAAAATGAAAATAGATTTTCAGTCTCCTGATTAATTCACTCAAGCTTCTCATTGTACTTAGAATAAAATCCAAACTCTTTGTCCTCTTCTACAAAGTTCTACGTGATGTCTACGTGGTCTCTGTATGACTCCCTGTTCACATTTAATCCCTCAATCATCAGCACAGCTATGTCTTCCATAGAAACTAAACACAGAACCTGATTTCTTTGAGATTTATGAACAGTGGACATAATCTATTTCTTTGGAACAAATGTATAAGAAGAGTCAACAAACCAAGGAAGATTTACTAATCCAATAGAATTGGGAAGGTCATTTGAAAATTGTTCCTTGAGTGTATTAAAGGCTGTCTTAATGACATGATATTGTTAATACAGAAGCCTGATTCACCTCATCACTTGATTTCCGATGATCAGCCACTTGGTATTTACAAGGACCAAGTAACACTCCTTTAGCTGAAATCCAAATAGCAAGGAGTTCTCTGCCTTGGAGGGCACAGTCCTGCTCCAGAGCCCTCGGGGTTTTGCTTTGTGTGGTCCACAAAGCTTCCTTATCCACCACAGAGAACTCTTGCCCCAAAGATCTGCAGGGCGAAAAGGACCAAGAAGCAGGCAAGCTTGCAGCACATCCTGGACCTGATGCAGAGCACTCTGTTTCTCTGAAACTGTAGCAACACTCAAACTGGCAGCATTCGGAGTTAAGTGAGGTGTGGAAATATTCCCACAACTGTCCCGTGTGTATATGCCACCTGCGAACCCCAAAGACACATTGTTTCTCTTTCTTAGTGCTGGAGGCTCTAAAGTACAACTTTTACCTAGAATTTTACCATCACCTAGATTCTACAATTAATGTTTACTATGTCTCATTTTTTAAGTCATTCATCCATTTATTGCTGCCTTTTAAAAATCTGCAGACATAAGACAAACACATACTTATGCTCAGGATTTAATGATAAAGTTTAAATGTGTTACAGGTACAATAAAATATAAAAGCTATATACCCATGCACTACTTGATTGTGGATTCCTCAAAGTGACTGCCAGTACTTGGTCTATTTTCCCAAATAGACCCCCACATGCAAATGGGGGTTGCTTGTGAATGTGGTGTGCCCAAAAAAATCTCTCAGACTGAGAAGGGAGGAGAACAAATGGCCAGCATCTTGGGTCTCATGAATGAACCCTAGTCTCTGTTTTGGCTTACCCTTAACCAGGATAGGAAAAGCTTGGTGGCACGAACATGGAGTCCTGTCTGGTGTTTCCTTCAGAGGGAAGAAAATTGGGCTTATTCTCCAGAATTGGTGGACACTGTCTCTACGGGACTGATTTGGGCACAGGGAAAGAATATGGCCTGGAGTTCCCTCACCTTGTCATGGGGACACTGCCACATTTTCTGTATATTCCTAGCTCTTAAACTCATTATCTGGAGTTTTATTTTTCCTTGTGCTAGTATGGCACTTTTAACTTATCCCCTCGTTAAACACTAATGTCCCACTTTAGACATTGTTTCCTAAAAATCCTAGCTCAAATATGCACAGGGGATTCCAGCTCTCTGACAAGCTTTTGAATTCGCCACACATACTCTCAAATAACACTTTACTAGTGAAACCTAGTAAACTGTTGAGACTGGTTAGAGACTTGGCCATTAAAGATATTTATGTATGAAAAGGGCACACAGATTCTGAAAGTGGAGGAGGGGTCTCTTCTCAGAAAGAATAAACTTCTTTTAATTTATAATTTGTCCATTTAATTTGTATTTTCCCAGTGGTATAGGTCAAGTGGTAGAATCAGTGAGCAAGCAGTCTGCCAAATCCCTTTAACAAGCTATCCATAAATATGGATTAGTCAACTATAGTCCAATCAATTTTCTGTACCAAAAGGAAAGCCCTTTAGGGATGCTGCTGGATTGAGGAGGGCAGCTTTCTTCTGTGCGTACCATGACTGCCTAAGCACCCACCCTAAAGAGTTGTGCCGTTTTACGTTCATACAGTATTTTGTGTTGCTCTTTTCCCCTCTACCCCTGTGAACTTTAGGTGAAAATGATCTGTTCCTTTTGATCAGTTCAAGTTAACTCTTAAAAACAAACAAATAACTAAACAAGATATTGCCTTCAATAGATGCCCTACCCAAACTAATAACAAATGAAATGCACATATGCTCCAATAAATAGAAGAAATGGAAGGTGGAAAGAAGGATAATGATAGAGATCTCTCCAGATAGCGCTTATATTCCTTGCATCATTGCTACTGTATGCAGTAGTTTGATCTTACATAAACCCATGCTTCTAAGTTCCTTCTTTAGCAATAAATATTGATGAGAGCTTATTTATGCAACCTTATGGAATTCATGGAAAGAAAAAAATTACTGACTTAAAATGTGGAAACAAAACGTGTTTTTTCTTTAACTAGTTGTTAAACAAGTTAACTTTATTCCTTTTACACAACAACTCTAACATATTTTCACTGATATGTCCCCTAGAGCAAGGAACATAGGAAAGAATAAACAAATTGGATTTCATCAAAATAAGAAGCTTCTGTACAGTTGAAGAAAACATCAGCAAAATGAAAAGAGAACCAGCTGTATGGGAAAATGTATTTGCCAATGATACCTCAGACACAGGTTTGATCTCCAAAATATAAAAAGAACTCACATGAATTCACTCCGGGAAGACAAACAATCCAATTAAAAAATGGGCAAAGAACTTAACCAGACACTTCTCCAAGGAGGACATACACAGGTCACAGAGACATATGAAAGGATGCTCAGCATCACTAGCCATCAGAGAGATGCAAATTGAATTCCACTGCAGGAATATTCCCTAAGGACCCCAAAAACCATTTCAAAAGAACAACTCCAACAGAGTATCAATGAAAACTTTGGAAAGTACTTACTTTCAATTATAAAAGAACATCATTTAAAATCTCATTCATGTAAAATTTGCAAAGATTGTCCTTGAACAACTTTTCTGTTATTAAAAACTAGAGAGTCAGGAAGGCCTTCTTTTTCATAAATGTTCTATTAAGGGAGGTTTTTGGGGGAGTATTTTTTTGAATGTCCTCATCATCTCCGTCCCGTCCTGTAATGCTGATTGCATTGAGAGCATGCTTGGGTCTTTGTACAGTAGACTGAGTTTGATTCTTTGTTCTTGTCCTGCTGATGCAACCTATTCAATACATTACAGATATATTTATTATTCAGCTACAGATGAACTGTAACTTTGTGAAGACAGCTACTGCGTGAACGCTGGCATACGGTGTGGGTTGGGAAGATTCTTAGGGAAACCTGTGCAGGGGTCTCACTGTAGTAGTTCTATATCTCTTTGAATAGCCCTGTAGCTGTGCTAGTAGATTCCCTAAGGAAGGAAGGGGATAGGGAAGAGAGAACTTGATTTACTGAGCATGAATATGTGCCAGGTATCCTGTGAAATGGACCGCATAAGGGTTTTTATCTTTCTCTCCACTTTATGTCTAATTGACTCCTTTTCTTCCTTCAGATCTCGTCCTGAGTATTACTTCTTAAGTGGGGCTTTCCCAAACTTGAACAAATCTCCCTATCATAATTCTCAGAGCACCAGAAACTTCCCTCTATAACATTGATGATAGTTGCAACATGACATTTGTGTGTGTGTGTGATTATTTCTCCCAATGTCTTTCTCCCCAGCTAGCATGTAGGTTCATGAGGGCAGTGCTCTTGATTGGTTTTGCTCATCATTGTACTACAGTAGCTACCACAGTGCTTACACACATCAGGGGTTTAATAAATATTTACTGAACAAATGCATGGTTAAAAATTTGAGATTATAGTCAGACAGACTTAAATTTGAGTCCTGGTGTAGTAGGTTG